AGCATCGCATTGCACCAGGGGGCACGCGTTGGCGAGCTAATCCAGCAGCATCATAGCTGACACGGCGCTGCACCTCGCCCTCTGGACACTCTTCTGGAGGATGCCCCCTCTGAGGCGGGGCCCCCGCAGGCGCTCCTTCCCTGGCGGGGCATCGGGCCTGCCGCCCTCCTCGGCGGGGTCTTGGGGGCCCTCGCGCCAGGAGGGCGATGGGCGCTGGAGGCCGCTAGAGCGGGCGCCGCTGGAGCGCGCGCGAATGTTCGCGCGAATAACTGCGGGCGCGACCACGACGTAGCACGCGTTGGTCAGCTTCCCACTCGCCGACGCCATCGTCCGAGCGGTTCGCGCGTCTCCAGACTCGACGGCTCGCCGATCGCCCCTGGCGGCTCGGGAAACGCCTCGCGGCCGCAAATGTAAATAGAACTTCTTCGTAGTGGCCGAGCTCGTGCTGGATGCGCTCTGAAAAGTCGCCAGCATCTCTCGGTTTTCCCCCCCAAGGATCATCATCACCTACTTCCACGTTTGTCGGATTGCCACTTACCAGAAGATAAAGCACCATTTGTATTTCCTCATCTGTCGCAGGGGCTCTGGCTTCTGAATCCGCGGGTGCCCCCGCTATTTCCTGATCTACTTCGGCGGGCATATAAGAGTTCTCGACAAATACAATATGTGCAGGTTGCCCCGCGACGGGCATGCCCAGCCAGTCTGCCAGGTTGATCTCGCTGCGGCCACTGGAGATTTCCGCGAAGAGCTCGCCGGCGCAATTCTCGAGGGACATACTGGCACTCAATTATCCGGCAGCCATGAAGTTAACAACTGTAACTGGGCCGTCGGCAGGGTCGGCCAATTGCGTCTCCCAGTCGACATACTGCATGTCCGAATCAGCTTGACCAAATGCATCGACGGACCTCTGCCTCTCCCATCGCCCCGGGGGAATTCACGACGAAAATGTTGTGTGCGATGGCAGATATCACATTCCACTGTTTTGCCGTTAGCGTCTTTCGGTTTGCCCCGACGTCCCTTACCCCTTCCTGAAGTGCGCCTACGGTTCCTACCTGCACCTTGGAATAGTTTTTCGTATTTCGGATCCATAAAAGATGCCAGGACAACTAACATACCTCTGACATGCAGTCGCCGTCGTTTGCCCTTAACCTTGCCTCGACCCTCATCCTTTCCCCTAAGTGCCCATTGGATAGTACGTCGTACCTTACGAACTGGCTTCTTCATAAATCGCCCCCACCTGCGCTTATGTTTCTGATATCCTAGGAATAGCAATTGAACCTGTTGTTCTTCCGTAAGATACGTGGGCATGTCGGAGTAGTCTAGGGCATTCGCCTCTTCGTCCGAGGACGCGTCGGCGTCGGTTCCAGAGCCGAAGTCGGACTCAGCGCGTTGCCCCGTTGAGCCTACAAGGGCAGCGGCTTGTGTAGGAGCCGCCGTTGCCAGCGGCCCCTGATACCTGGCCCAGGAGCCTTGCGACCCCGCAGCCGGACCACCACTTTGAGTTAATAGCGTGGTGGATTCCGTCGGTTGCGGATCGCCCTTCCGGACGTTCGTAGCAAGTTGCCCTGCATTAGCTTCAACATGTAAGGTCTCGGCACGGTGACCGTGGCTAAAGATACCACCAATGTTGCCAGGGGTTCGCTCATCGATGTGAGCATATGATATCATGCGTTTAAGCAGAGAGTCGAATTGTCTGCTCCCTCGACATATGGTGGTGAAGTGGCTGTAGAAATCGCTGTGCACGCGACGCCCCCACTCCTAAGGCTCTGAACCGAATAACCGCTAGAATTTGGAAGTTGGGGATGTTAAAATCTGCCGTTTCAGCCTCATAGCGGGCTATCTCGAAGCGCGCCAATGTCTGGTCGATCCGCTCTCCAGCATGGACTCGGAAGGCAATGGGAGCTGTACCCGAGTTGAGTTGGCGTTCCTCTTCTAACTTCTCGAACTTCACGCTCAGGGACAACATAAAGGAAGTGACACCATCAGTATGGCGGCCACCGAAGTTGACGCCAAAACTGACAACTGCTGGGGGACCTCTCATGGCTATAGTCCGTGCGAGGCCTCCCAGAGCACGCTGCAGTGCTGCAGCTTGTTGGAAGGGCGTCCTAGTGCCTGTGATCACGTTGATCCAGGCATGCACCTCGCGAACGAATTCGCGGAAAAGGTACTTGACCGGCCGGGTCCCAGTGGGGACTGGTCGTTCTCGTGTCGTCTCCGCCACGCATGTGTTCCACAGCACACCCGATGGCAACCCATATGAGACCAAAGATAATAACACCAATCCACTGGCCCCGTAGATCGTGGTCGGATGTGGTTGGCTGAGGTGTGTGGTGCTTTGTCGTAAGCCTGCGTGGGGGTGGAAGCGGCACAATGTCGTATCGCATGCTTCCATGCATGGCATATTCAAAGAAATTCCCAGTGCAGTAGGTGGGTGGACTTCAGGAGTGTAGTAGCGAAGGGATGTGGGACTCGAGTGAGAGAAACCTCTGCGAGGGCAGAAGTAGCACTGCAAGTGTCCTTGCGGATGTGCGTAGCTATGTACATTCCTCCGCGCCAACCCACTGCACCCTGATGTTCCACCACGTCAGTAGTCCACCAGATACTGCCGTGGATGGTGAGGAGTACAGCAATAGCTGACCACCATAGGCCAGCTCCGCTACCAAGTTTGAAGGGGGGCGGTAGGCCCGACCAGAAGCTACGCCTTAGGCGAAGCACAGTTCCAGCTCTGCTGTATCGTAGTAACGATAGTCCCACTAGTAGGAGGTCGTCGCGGGAACGACGGGCCATCTCAACCGAAGAATGTTTTAGGTCTCGATGGCGAATCGTACACCTCGCCCTGAGGTATAGTCAGATATAGGTAGGCGGCCGGCCGCTTGAGCACAAACGGCCGCGCACACACGCCCGTTACCTCTCGCCTGTATCCCAGCTCACTTTCGAGTGAATGCCGTGCGCTGTCTGCTGGGCGCAGAAGCATGCACCACCACCCCCTTCCCGATACCACAACCCCTTCGCCAAATACTCTGAACTCGCACTCCCGAGGCCCACATACCTCCAAGACGTCCAAATATCGCCAAGACGGGCCACTTTGGCCTCAAGACAACCCGAGATAACTTCAAGACGGCCCACGAGGCCGTCGAGGCATCCAAAGAAAGCCCCAAGAGCCGCCCCAAGAAGGCCCCAAGAGGCAAAACCGTTGATTGTCTGAAGCTTTTTCAAGATTGTGTGGGTTCTCTCCTTTTTGAGCTTCCGACGCTCCAAAACGGACCAAGAGGACCCCAAGACTCCCCCGAGACGGCTCAAAAGGCCCCCGAGTGAGCTCCAAGACAGCCCACAGATGGCTCCAAGACGGCCCAAGAGGCGCCGAAGACTGGCCAAGACGGCCCCGAGACGGCCCCAAGAAGGGCCCAAAAGTGGGAGCACGAACCAAGAATTCGAGCCTTCTGCCCCAGGAGGCACCGAGCAGGCCCCATTGCCTTCTCGAGTTGCTGTTTGCATGGGATATCCAATGATCTGGTCGATAATCAGGACACAGTAACAGGTGAAGCACAACGAAGGTCAATTGAGTCTACCCAAACGCATGGCAAATGTGACGAAAGCTTCTGCTCCGACCATCTCAGCTTGAGAAACCAACACAGCCCCATGCAGCATGATTCCGCTGTATCCACAAATGTTTGGCCGCCAATGTCAGTCGACATGTTGAACACGACAGCAAAAGCTGCCCCGCCAGACGTACCGTCCAAACAGCGTTCAGAATACATTTGCTGACCGCGTCCAAAACCCATGTACAAACAACGTCGGCTTGCTTGCTCAGCTCACGCTGTCACCAATCATGGCAACGAAAGTACCTGGCCTTGTTTTAACGGTGCTTCGGTGATATGTAAAATATCGACGGGCGCATTCTAGCAATCATTGGCTCGTAGAAAGGAGCATCGACACGTCGCTCCGAGTTCATCGAGCCAACCACGGTCTCGTTGTCTACTACAAACTCAAACTGCGGTCGTTTCGAATTCTGCAACCACAGGTCGTCGCGTTGAAGCCCTTGCACCGGACTGAACTCACGAGCACTCGAGCTTGCAACTCTGGCCCCTCTTGCGACACGAACAGAAAGCTCTACATAGGGAAGCGGGTGCTTGAAGCGCGCGCTCAAACTGCTGCCACCCAGGATGCTGCGCTAGCACGGTGGCGGAATTGCCGGAGGCAGCTGGACAGATCGGCGATGGGCCCCCGATAGCGAGCTCTCCCGGTCCTGGGCGGGGTGGGCGAGCAGCCCCCTATCGGCGATGAATGGGCGACGTTGGCTCGATGCAAACTGTTCAGTCCGCGGGCGCCAACTGGCCCGAGACAGTCAGACGCTGGTCAAGCAAGCGGGGGGGTGCACCGAGACGAACTGAGGCACGAAGGCGAAAGAGGACGGAGCACGAGGGGGAAGAAGGAGGAGCCCGCTCGGACCACGAAGGCCGAACTCGATGCAGGCCACGCTGAGCCGATCCACCCCCTAAGAGCCTGCTTTGTATTGTTCGCGACGACGGGCGTGACCAGGGAAGGGGGGGGGGGGAGTTCGTCCCCCCCCCCCCCGATCACACCACGGCGGGGGGCCGCCGGAAGTCTTGGGAAATCCTCAGCGAATCCATGCGAAATCTGTGCGCACGTAAGCAAAATAGCGCGACATGATCCAGGCAGGGGGGGGGGGGGGAGAGGGCAGATCAGGGGCGTTATCGCCCGGATTTCTGTTTAATAAAAAAAGGGCCCAACGCTGCCCCTTATTCATTCGGCGGCGACGACAAGGGCGAACCAGGGGTGGGCATTACACGTATTCGCCCGGGAGCCTTAGCGAAGACATAGATCGTCGGCGCCCCTGGATACATGTATTGCTCCCCCCTGGGCTATTCGCCCCTGTCGTCGCCCCTATCCTCGCCCCTATCAGGGCCGTCGTCGCCCGGACTCGAAGAAAACAGGGCCCAACGCTGCCCCTGCTTCGTGGAGGCGGGCGGCGACGTCTCCTCGGGCGGTCGGGTGAGCGCCACCGGCCCCGGCGCGCCCTCGCTGGCGGTGGGCTCCACTGGAGCGGCCCGGGCAGCGGCGGCCTGTGGCACCTGCGCGGCCCCGTCCCGACAGAGAAAGACATCACCTTCCTCCTTGTTGCAAGCAGTACTTGGTACTGGTACACGTTGTGAATTTCTAATCGTGCTCATTTCTAATTGTGCTCGTTTCTAATTGCTCCTGGCGCCCTAGTGGCCAGGAAGAGGCCCAGGACAGGACAATGAGAAATGAACGGATCTCGGCCCCCAAAAATCAAAGAACTTTCGAAGAACTACAAATGAACAATGTGTCTCAATTACGTGTGCTGATCTATGCCTCTCACCTTGCAAGGTCTACCAGCACCAAGGAATTGCACAGCAAGGAGAACAGGTTCGCTCCTCGATGACAAGAGCGTGAAAATCATAATGATGACGCCGTATCATTTGCGAACTATGTGGTGCCGCGAGACTGCTGAGCAGGGCGTGCTGCGACATCGGCCCGCAATGCACACACACAACCATCCTCGCACCGAATCGTGCCCCCGCAGGGAGTTCCCCACGGGACGCTCCATAGGACCAAGTTTCCCATGTCCAGCGCGTCCGCCAAGCCCCCCCGCTTACTCGGCACACTCCTCTCACATGGATCGTGCCCTTAGGGACTCCCACCAACGGGCCGCCTCAAAGGCAAAGGGTTTTCGAATTTCGTTACGGGTCGCCCTCGCGACCCCGCCCCCCCCCCCCTCCCCGCCCCCTTCCCCAACCCCGCTCATTGCGGCATACCCCATCACGCGGACCGTGCCCACAAGGAGCACCACCTTCAGGTACAGCGCCCCCCAAGCCCATGCCTGCCATGGCCCATGCTGAGACAATAATGAACGCGTCCGCGCGATTGCACATCTTTCGATCCCATGTGCTCGGGCCCCGTCTCCAGGAAGGGGCCCAGGGACACACAGACAAGTGGACACGCATCCCAGGATCGCCCATCCAGATGACCTGGGTGTTCGCCTTCCCCTCCCCTGCCTAGGTATTCTATATTATCTTCCTGGGAACCGACGACTCTCTGTGCCCGTATGCTCCACCCCCTCCCGACGGAAAAAAAGGCTCGCCCCTCCTCGGAGGATCAGGCGCGGGAGGCGGAGGCGTGCGGCAATCCCCGGGGGCACGACCTGGGCATCGCTTGATGGGGGTGTGGTCTTGGGGGGGTGGGGGGCGACGGCCCTGACCTTCCAGAGTGCCAGAAAACAACACGCCTGGCCTACAGCCAACCCGTACAGTAAGGGCGCCCGATAAGGATGCAGGGGGGCCCTGGAAGGCGACGTCGACACCTTGCGAGCAGGGCGCAGCCCGCGAAAGCGGCCAAGGGTGGTCCGACGGGGCAAGGATGTAAGGATACTCTTGGTCAGGTTGCCCATCCCTTTACGGGTTCACTGTATAGAGCTATCTAGACTGCTTACAACACCTCGATTGGAATTCAAGGAGCAAGGTCCTCCTGGAAGGTCAGGGAAAGGGGGGGCGGGAAGGAAGGTGCGGTGCATTCTTCGGGCCCCACGAGGCCCCCTTATGGAGGCCCTGAAATCACGGGTCACTTGAGGAACCCTAGAGGACCCCTTTTCTTTCTGCAGCCCTCGCAGCCCCCCCCCCCATCCCCCCCCCATGTTATCGCCCCCCCCATTACGTGACGCCCAGAGAGGAGGAGGAAGAGGAGGGGGAGGAGGGGGAGGAGGAGGAGGAGGAGGAGGAGAAGGAGGGGGCGGAGAAGTCTTCCGAACCTTCCCAGGAGACACAGGCAGCCTCTCCGACGGCCAGAGGGCCTCCGAGGAGCCCCGCCGCCTTCTGGGACGGCCTTCTCCTTTTCTCCTGACCGTCCAGTAGGACTAAAAGATGGCACCAGGACCCGAATCCCTAAATTCTCATCGAGGTTTCGAAGCAGTCTAGCTTGGTCTACGGGTATGGAGTGTTGTTTTTCTGCACCATGGAAGGTAAGGGTGATCCCCCCCCCCAGTATCGGGGGCGGCCAAGAGGGGGGCGTTCAACAGGGGGGGGCGGGCGCAAGTCATGGCTGGCGGCACGTGCGCGGCCAAGGGGGGGCCGGGGACGTCGTGAAGTATATAAGAAGAGGCGCCATGAAATTTGAAGAAACATCATGGCCCACGCCATGACATCCAGAACCCCCTAGAGTGGAGGCCAGTCCACAAGAAACTTGCCACAAGAAACCCCACCCTGAGACCCCAGGACGTCGATGGATGTCTGGTGTGGGAGCGTCACGCTTCCCACAGCAAAGCCATCGAAACCCGAGGAACCCAGGGCACCCTGGAGGCAAGCAGGGTGTTTCTTGGCATGGGCCCCCACTGTGCGTGAACACGGGCGGGATGGGGGGGGAGGAGGGTGTTCCTTGGCATGGGCCCCCACTGTATTGCACCCACTTCTTCCGTACCCGCTTCGGGCGTCCAGATGAGGACCATTGAAGGGGCCCTGGGACACACAAATAAATACACACAAATAAATTGATCTCCCATATTTTCCTATATTTTCTGGGTTTTTGTCTTTCCCCCACTTCAACTATTTTCCCATATGTTCTAAGGAATCGACGATTCATTGTGTCTGTGTGTGTTTTCCCCTCCTGAACCATATCGGCCCTTGTGCCGCCTCCGCGGGGGGGAGGTCCGCCGCCGCCGCGGGCGGGGCGCGGCACGATAGCGCCTCGGGGCCAGGCGCATATCGAGCGCTGTGGGCCTCCGGAGAAGGGCCAGCTCGCCTCCCGAGCGAGCAGCAGGGCCGGGGGGGCCACGAAGGACGTGCGCGCCCACCCACAGCAGCTTAGTGGGCCCTGGAAAAGACAAGGCCGTTTTTTTACCGGTTCCGTTCTGCCGTTTTCTTGCCGGTTCCAACGCATGTTTTTACCGGTTCCGTCGCCGTTTTGTTGACCGGTTCCGGCTCCGGTTCCAATCCTGGAGCCGTTTTTGTTGCCGTTTCCGGTCGCCGTTTTTTTTGCCGTTTCCATGTTCAAAGGATATTTTTTGGGAAACGGTGAAAAAACGGCCCTGCCGTTTCCAGGGCCCACGAAGGGCCCGACCACGAGAAGTCCTCCACAAGAAACCCAACCCTGAGACAACCAGGGCGTCCATGGATATGCTCGGTGTGGGAGCGCCACGCTCTCACGCTCTCCATAAGAAGACCACCGAAACCCGAGAGACCCAGGGCACCCTGGAGGCAAGCAGGGTGCTTCTTGGCGTGGGCCTCCACTGTACCACAAGGGATGCGCGATAAGGGTGCAAGGATACCCTTGGGAAGGTTGCCCATCGCGGGTCGACTGCAGAGAACACAAAAACCGCAGGAACACAAACTCTGGTCGGCGCTGCCCCCCCCCCGCCTCTCCCTGGCGCCCAGAGCGCGCCAGGGGTGCCTCCAGGAAGGCCCAGGCGCGGATCCCTGAAATCCGCCAGGGCCCCCGAAAAGCTACCATGTTTGTGCGGTTTCATATCTTCTCCGACCCAACAGGCTGCCAGGGAGGAAGGGCCGCCGTCTGCCTCGACATTCGAAGCCTCCCAAATGGGGTCCGAGTAGATGGGGTCGGAGAATCGCACCGCATCGACAATGCAACGCCGATGCATCAGCGCTGCATCGCCGCCGGCGGTGCCCGCCGGCGTGGAGAAAATCAGGCTCCACATCGAGCCGCATCGCCGATGAACTGACGATGCGGCGCGATCTTCCGTCAACATTTGCTGAGCAGAGTCCGGCCGTCCTGGCATTCATGTGGGCCTACCACGACGTGTTCTTCGAATCCGAAAATATTCAAAAAACAGACCAACGTGCTTAGAGCATACAGACGATTGACTGAAACCAGACAGTCCCGGCCAGAAATGCTCTAAGACCTTTTCATGCAGACCACAAAAGGCTCTTAGAACATTCCATGGTGGCCCTGTATTGGCGGCGACGACAGGGGGGCGATAGCCCAGGGGCGGGCAGTACACGTCCTCGCCCGGGAGCCTCGTCGAAGAGATAGATCCTCGGCGCGCCTGGATACAAGTACTGCTCTCCCCTGGGCTATTCTCTTCCCTGTCGTCGCCTCTGACTCCACTGCTCGGATCTGGGGGGCCCTCGAAGAGGCCTCCGTCGAGCGGGGCCAACGGGAACCTCTGCCGCACGGTAGCAGATCGCCCACCCCCTAGAAGGGGGGGAGGAGGAGGAGGAGGAGGAGGAGGAGGAGGAGGAGGAGGAGGAGGAGGAAGGAGGAGGAGGAGGAGGAGGAGGAGGAGGACGAGGAGGGTGGGAGAGGAGGAGGATGCGGAGGAGGAGGAGGAGGAGGCCAAAGGGACACGGCCCCCCTCCGACGAGCGCACCGAGCTCCCGCCGCAGGGCCTCCGCTCGGCCGCTCGGCCGCGCGACGGCGGGGGCGCGCGGCGGCGGAGGGGGAGGGCCCGGGGCGCACCCTCAGAGGGGGCAGCCCGAGAGGGGGCTCGCAGGTCCTGGCCCCGGGCGCGCGCGTGGCCCTCGGGGGGCACCGAGGGGAGGTGCTGGGAGAGGCAGAGGGGCTCCTGTCTGGGCGCCCGACATGGATACGGCCAAAAATGAGTACAATGCCCAGCAACAGATTTTTAATTCGCGTTGTTTCCCGTGCGCCAGTTTGGACGCCCGAAATGGGCACGGAAAGAATGGGTACGATGCCCAACAACACATGTTGTCCCAAACCAACAGCGGCCGCTGTTGGGCAGAAGGCCTTCTGTCTCGAATGAGCACAGGCCGCGGCGGCGCGGACAGCGAGTCCTGTCCAAAATGAACAAGAACCGATGTTGAGCATTGTACCCGTTCTTGACGTGCCCATCTCGTTCGTGCAGATCCTGAGTCCAGGGATACCACGGCCCGAGACACGATACCTGCCCCCCCCTAGCACGAGCGGCGCACAGATCTGTACCTATCCGCGCCCTCGCGGTCTGGACTCTGGCGGGGTGCGATCCCGCGGACACGAGGTCGCACGGGTACGTTCCGCGGGGGGCATCCACGCAGAGACGCCCGCGCATCCGCGGGGCTGCGGCCCAGAGGCCCGGGCCGCGAGGCCGCGGATACGGATGCGTGTGCCGCTCACGATGTCATCCCCCCCCTGCCGCCCCCGAGGGAGCATGATGTTGCACCCTCGGGGGACCTTGCCTCTCTCATCGAGGCCCTACCCGCGTCGAATCCGTGTCTCGGATCCGTGCCTGAACCGTCGCATCCGTGTCGAGAATCCGTGTCGTAAACTCGCGTCGAGTCCGCGCCAAATCCGCGTCGAGTCCGCATCGAGCCCGCGTCGGGCACTCTTCGCGCCGGCGGCGAGGCAGAGGCCCTCCGCACCACCGTGTGGCTCCTCGGGGCCACCGACATGCGAATCGCCCGGCAAAACAAAAGCAAGGAACGAGACGGAGGGCGGCGGCCAAGCTACGGGAGCACACCTCGGGGACGGACAGACCCCCCTTTAGCAAAGCGTGGTTTGGTAAAAACGGCCTCGGGCCCCAACCTGGCGGGCGCCAGCCTGGAAAATGACGACGGCCGCGGCGCCCTCTGGAGAACCCAAAGCGGACAATTCACTGATCGACGTGTCAGGGTAGGAGGTCTGTCCACCCCCGCCACACAGGTGTGGGGGGGGGGGGCGGGGCAGTGCCCGAAGACGCGGCACCGCGCCGGGCACACGAGGAGGCACGACTGCTTTGGGGCGACGGGCGCGAGGCCCCCCTCCGAAAGTGCGGCGCGTGACTGGCAGCGCCCGCCCCGCGCCCGGAGGCCCGCGGGCCCCCCCCCCCCGGGAGCGCTCACGCGGCGGCGGCCCTCGAGCGGCGCCCCGCGGTGGCGGCTTCCAGGGCGCAGCTCGTCGGGGGGACCTTAGGGGAACAAAAAATGACATAAACATAAAAACTCGGAGGTGTTCGCGGATTTCTCGGATCGGCGCTGGACCCCCCTCCCTGGCGCGCGGAGCGCGCCAGGGGCGGCGCCGGAGGCGCCGCCGAGGGGCCCTGGCGCCGATCCGAGAAATCCGCGCGGACATCAGAGTTTTTATGTTTATGCCACTTGTTGTTCCCCTATTTCCCATATTTTCCTATATGTTCCCATATTCCACTTACGTTTTATGTTCCAACTGTTTGTTCCCTATTTCCCGTATTTCCCACTTTTTGTTTATTTTCCCATTCTGTTTTATGCTTATCCCACTTCCCATATTTTCCAATATTTTCTCTTGGGAATCGACGATGAATTGTGTCTGTGTGTTTTGTCCCCTCCTGAGACCTGCGCGGGAGCGCGAGGCGGCTCCAGCCCCGCCCCGCCCCGCCCGGCACGAGCTCCCGGCGTTTCCTCCCGGGCTCCTGGCCCAGCCGCCGGGCTTGCCTCCTGCCTCCGTCCTCCTCTCTCTCCTTCTCTCTCTGTCTCTCTGTCTCTCTGTCTCTCTCTCTCTCTCTCTATTCGCTCTTCTGTCCTCTTGAGGCGAAAAAGAACAACTGAATACATGTAATGTGCTGGCGCTCCGCGTGGAGCGCCAAACGTCTATGCTTATGGCGTTCTCTCTGCTTCGGCTACTAAAGTTATCTTTGCTTGCTTCTCCCTCTCTCTCTACACCCTCGTCTGATGCATCTCCTCGCTGCCCTCTGGGTCGGCTCACCGACGCTTTGCACTATGAATCCGCCGACCTCCGCTTGCCGGGCGTGAAAAGACGTGTGAGATGATGGGATGCCCCCCCTCCCACAGTTCCCCCTCCCCTGGAGCAAAACATCGCAGTAGAGGGTGGTAGGTACGAGCTCCTTAGGAGTTCTCACGAGCCTCGAAAAAGCCGCTGGACGGCCCAGTGAATTCCGAGATGATCCAAAGGAGCGTCGAGACGACGCTGGGTAATCCCGCGACGGTCCAAGATGGCTTTAAGATGGCTCCAAGATGGCCTACGAAACCCCCGAGACGGCCCAAGAGTTCTCCCAGAGGGCCGCCGAGTGGGCCCCAAGAGGTAAACCATCGCCCCAATCACTAATGAAAAAAGTGCACGTTTGAGCTATACGCATTCTTCGTCTGACCAGCATCCACAAGAAGGCCCCACGCTGGCCCAATAGGGCCCCCAGAGGGCCTAAGAACGGCCCGGGGGGCCACTGAGACTGCTCAGGAGGGCCCCAGGAGGGGCAGTCCAAACTGACACATCGAGACTTTTCAGCCGCGATGGCCCCAATCGGGAGCGGCAAAGAGGGGGGGGGGTGTCCAAGAGGGGGGGGTGCAAATCATGACCGGCGGCATGTGCGTGGCCCAGCGGGGGGGCCAGGGACGCAATGAAATAAGAAGAGGCGCCATGAAATCTGGGAAATATCATGGCCCCCGCCATGATATCCACCCCCCCCTAGTCATCACCCCCCTCTTTGCCGCCCCCGACCCAAGTGGCCCCCAGTGACCCCCGGGGCATCCCCAGAATGCCCCAGAGACTTCTCCGAGGCTTCCAGGCCCAGGGGCCCCCGCAGGCCCATGGAGTCCCAGCAGAAAACTGCTCCAAAAGGTCCACTCCAGAACGTCCGAGAGGCCTCGACCCTGCCACGCCCCTTCTCTTTCGCGATCTCCCAGATCCTGCTCGACCCTCGATTCTCGATCGTCCCCTTTTCCCAATCCTCTGAGGAATCGACTCCCGGACCTCTCCTGGGGCGCGCAGGGAAATCAGCAGCGGCGAAGAGACGCCTCCGCCTCCGGGAGGCCCAAGAGAAGCGAACGACGAAAACAATTACTGAATCTCGAAGACTCCAACCTCGATCCGACCAAATTACGATTCAAACCGCTTCCTCTGGCCCCCTCGCGATATGCACCCGTCATCCCAGGATCCCACTTCTGGCGGCGGGGGGGCCGAAGTGCCCCTGCAGAGGTCCAGGACTGCGGAGAAACTCCTAACACCCCCCAGCGTCAAATCTCGAAGCCTCCACAGCCAGGACAATCGTCTGCGCGGGCTTCTCCTGGGATGAATCAGATGGCTTCTCCATTCTGCTCTTAGTCTGCGATATCCAGTCGCAAAGGGATTGGTCTTGCGGTTCAAACGGTTTTCCCAGGAGAGCTTCTTGGTAGTTCGCTGCCTTGAATGTTTGCCCTGCCTCCAAGTAGTTGGCACCTGTGATGCCCTCGCGTTTCTTTTAGTTTTCCAAAATTGGGCAACGTCTTTTGCCGTCTGGACTGGGTCAGGGCCTGCTGCGTCTGCGGACTGCGCAGGCTGATCTCGAGCCGACAGAGAAGATCGTGTTGTTTTGCCTGCCCCATTTCCATTCCGGGAGAGAACGCCCTTGGATGCAAGCTGTCCCTTCCACCAATTGACTCCTGCTGGCGAGGGCGGCTTCTGGTCAGGTTGGCCATCTCCTTTACCTTTGCACCGGACTTGGAACTTGGAGCCGCATGCTCCGCAACGCTGCTCGTCGTTAGCACAACAGGCCCGTCCATTGAACTGCGGCATTCAATGCAAACGTACTCACGACGGTCATGTTCGTATTATTTCTTCCAATCGGTGCCCATATCTGCTGCTCCCCGTGTCCCAAGACTCTCGCCTGAAGAACCCAATCAACTAATAACAAGCACTGCAAGAAGGAAAGTGCGGGAAAACAAAAACAACACCATTGTGACTGAGGTGAGGCTTCCTGAAAGCCTGGGTGATATGCCTCGCTTCTTCCTTTGAGGAAGAGCAGAGGGGGAATGAGGAAGAGAAGGAGTAAGAGGAGGGGGGGAGGAGGAGGAGGAGGAGGAGGAGGAGGAGGTAGGAGGAGGGAGGAGGAGGAGGAGGAGGAGGAGGAGGGGCAGGAGGAGGAGGGGGGGGAAGAAGAGGAGAGGGGCGGGGGAGAGGAGGAGCCGGGAATGAAGCCGCAATGCCTCGATAACTCGACGCCCGAAGCCCGCCCAGGCGGAGCGCCGCGGGACGCTCCTCGCCGGCCGCCCGCCGCGGCGTCGCACGCAGGCCGCGGGGGCGGCCGAGGCCGCGGCGGGTTCAGGGGCGGGAGCCGGGGGGCAGGCGCGCCACGGTCCTGAGCTGGGGGGGGGGCGCGGGCGACGACAGGGCCAGTTCTCCACCTCCGCCTCCGCCTCCACCTCCACCTTCTGCTCCTGCTCCTCCTCCGCTCGTCGACCTCCAGCGCGTCCTCTTCCTCCACCTCCTCGTCCTCCTTCTCCTCCTCCTCCTCCTCCTCCTCCTCCTCCTCCTCCATCTCTTTTCCTCTTTCTCTCTCTCTCTCTCTCTCTTTTCCTCTCGGCCTGAGGATCATCCTGACGCGGCCATCTCATCTTCCTCTGACACCTCCTCCAACTCCTCCTCCAATCCCTCCTCCTCCAAGTCCTCCTCCTCCTCCTCCTCCTCCTCCTCCTCCTCCTCCTCCTCCCTGTCCTCCCGAGTCTGAGGGGGGAGGTTAAGGAGGGGAAAGGGGGGCTATTCTGGCTGCTTCCCACCACCCGCGGGAGGGGGGCCGGCCCGAGCTCGCTGTCCGCCACGCGGCGGACGGCGAGCCGTGCACGTTCTCAACCAAACACGTCACGATCCACGTGAAATGCATGACGATGTTCGGGATCATCTCCGAGGTCAGCGTGATATACATCAAGATCCACGCGATAATCATCAAGATCGACGTGAACTACCCCGAGATCATCAGAAGCCAAGGCATGCAGCCACTAAGACATCGACCACCAGTTGTTGAACCACAAGGCTGCGAGACCTACCCACTGCTGTGGAGACGTACCTGCAAAGATACCGAGTCCATTGAAGGGGCCCCAGGACACACAAATAAATACACACAAATAACACTATTCCCCATATTATTCATATATTCTGGATTTTTGTCTTCCCCACCACTTCCCATGTTTTCCAATATTTTCTCGGGAATCGACGATTAATTGTGTCTGTGTGTTTTTCCCCCTCCTGATCCATGCACGCACGCACGGAAGAGCACGGGCGCGAACAGACACGGCCCCAGAACGAGTGGGCTAGAACGTCCGGCAGGGGATAAAGCCTCCACGGCCTCGACCCGACGACATCTTCATCACTGCTGCGACCGCACTCGTGAGAGGGTCCAAGCACGAGCTGCGTAAGAGGCAGCCGCAGTGCGGAAACGAGCTGCGTAGCAGGCGGCCAAGGTATGAGAATGAGCTGCGTACCAGGCAGCCCACGGACGAGTACCACCACCACCACCACCACCGCCACCACCAGAACCACCACCAATATGACACAAAGTACGCCACCGAGACCGACACCAGGACCGACACGAAAGAGCAGCCCAAAATGTTTACTGAGTACGTCGTGGTGGAGGTACCAATGGACAACGGCCGCGCCGCCTACGACGAATACCACTACGGCTGGGCCGCCTACGACGTGTACGGCTACGACAATTGATTCAAGTGCGACCTGTACTCCGACCACCTCCGAAACTACTCCGGCTTCCAAGACTACGAGGGGCCGCGGGGCTACGACAGCCGCCAGGACTACAGGGACACCGAGAATGAGGAACACTACGACTTGGCAGCCGACGACTCCGACTCGGACCTTGGGGACTATGGAGAGAGCGTGCCCTCTGAGCTGCTACAGCCACCAGCAGAGCTACCAGGGCCACCAATCGGCATCCGGGGGCCACGAGCTGAACTACGAGGATCGCATGAACAGCGACGAGAGCCTCCAGGAGAGCTTCAAGACCCGCCTGCCAAGCTACGAGAGCCACCAGCGGAGCCACGAGAGCCACAAGCTCAGCTGCGAGGACCGCGAGCGGACCTGCGTGAGCCACAAGCAGGGCTGCGAGGCCCAACAGCGGAGCCAGGAGGGCCACCAGCTCAGATACGAGGACCACCAGCAGAGCTGCGCGGACTCCCAGGTGAGCTGCCGGAGCCGCTTGCTCAGCTATCAGAGCCACGAGCAGAGCTTCGAGAGCCACCGGCAGAGCCACGAGGCCTGGAAAGCTAAGAGGGCCACAGCCTGGAATTCGTGGGCAACGAGGAGAGCTACTGAAGCCACCAGCAGAGCTACCAGGACCATCAGCGGTCCTTCGAAGACCACAAGCTGAGCCACGGGGGGCACAGCTACGAGAGAGAAAGAGTCACGACCTACCTGCCGAGCTACAAGAGCCACCAGCAGCAGCCTCCCTGCCACCTGGCTGGAACAGCTGCCTCGACCAGCAGGGACGACGATACTACCACCCCTCGACCCTGGACATGGCGACGTTGACGCTGCCGCGCAGATATGAGGACCACCAGCAGACCAGGTCCGCGAGATACCCCCCGTAGCTGCCACAGGAAGCCAGCCGAGTCACTGGGGCCACCGGCAGAATTACGAGGACCACGACCTGAGCTACACGGACACCGACCGGAGCGCTTCTGGGACCACCAGCTGAGCCACCTGGGCACGCAGAGCCACGAGAACCACTCGCTGCTCCTCAGGGGCTGCAGGACGAGCTTCGAGAGCCACCAGCAGAGCTTCAAGCGCAACCAGCTGAACTACCAGTGCCACCAGAACTACGGGCCAACTGCTGAGCTACGAGGACCAGCAGCTGGACTACGAGGGCTGCAACCTGAGCTACCTTGGCCACCAGCTGAGCCACGAGGGCCTCCGGCGGAGCTACGAGGGCTGCCAGCAGAGTTCCGAGGCCCATCTGAGCTACGAGGGCAGCCAGCTGAGCTACGACGGCAACCAGAAGAGCTCCGACCACGAGATCCACGCAGCATCGCAATCAACTACCAGGACAAATGGGACAGACAACACCAGTTGCGGAGCCGTACCACACAGGCCGTCTACGAGGCGGGCCGTGTCTCCTACACCGGGTACAAAGAACGCATCGCCATTGCGCACTGCCACATGAGAGGCCTGCTTACTGCCCCACAGAAACTACCAGTTGCTCTTCGAATGGCACCTCACAGTGATCATGGTTAGAACGGCCAACATCAAGCCGGACCACTCCGGGTACAACTACACCGTTTTGAATCTGGAGGCTTCTGCGCTACCGCGCCTACAATTGTACCGGCAAGGTACGCCACGCACGTCGATACAGGCAAGGCGCTACGCCATCCGCAACGGCTACGACATCCGATGAGTGGCCCGGCCGCTCCTCCTCATCCCTCTGCCTCGGTGGGCCTCAGGGCACAGAAGACGGGCGGGTGGCCTCTCCCTCTTTTTTTTCTCTCCGGGTGGCCAGACAACCGAGGCGACAGCGCAGTCCACGCGTGCCCGCGGCAGCAAATGCACCAAATTACAAGGGAGGCGAAGGAGGAGGAGGAGGAGGAGGAGGAGGAGGAGGAGACGGAGGAGGAGGAGGAGGAGGAGGAGGAGGAGGAGGAGGAGGAGGAAGGAGGAGGAGGAGGAGGAGGAGGAGGAGGAGGAGGAGAAGGAGGAGGGGGAGAGAGGGAGGAGGAGGAGGAGGGCGGCCGGCTCAGCCCGCCCTCCCCCCGCCCCCCGTCGGAGACCGGGCCCCCTGGTGGACCCGGGGGGCCCCCGGCGCCTCCCGCCCACGGCGCGGCCTCGCGCAGGCGGCACGGCGGCGCGGCTCGGGAACGCCCGACGGCGCTGCAGAAAGCGGGGCCGGGGGGGGGGAGGGGGGGGCGGTCTCGGCACCCCGGCGCCGCCTCCAGCGGCCGCCCGGGGCGCGCCCCGCGGGTCTCCATCTCCCTCGGGGGACATTTTTTGGTCGGCGGGTCGGGAGCGGGCCCCTTCTGGTCAAGAGCTAGGCGGGGGGCTTCTCGCCCTCCGGGAACAGAACGATGTGTTTTCTCCCCGCTGGCCGACCTGCCGCGGGGACGGAGGCCGTCTCCCTCCGTGCTCCGTGGCGCGCGGTCCCGCGCGGAGCCCAGCAGGCGGGTGGCGTTCAGGGCCCACGTGAGGCTCCCGGGGACGGGCTGTGTCTGACGAGGCTGGCTGTGCCTGCCGATGCTGGTGGGGCAGACGGGGAGGGAGGGCGCGTGCTCCTCGCTCGCCGCTTGTGCTCCCTGGGCGACTGGCGCGCGCGCCCCTCGTGGTTCGAGGAGGGGCCGGACGGACCCCGTCCTCCCCCCGCTCCTCCTCGGGAGCGAGCGCGCCGAGGGGGCAAAGGGGAGAGCTGGGGCGCCGCGGCGGCCCCAGTCGGTCTGGCATCGGGCCCTGGGCTCCTGGGGCGAGCTCTCCTCGCCCCGAAGATGCTCGTCTGCTTCCCGACGGCCCCCGGGGGGGCCGTTCGAGGCCTCCTGGACGGGGTCCGAGCAGCGATGGGGTGGAAAGCTCGCGCCGTCTCGCCGATGCACCGCCGATGTACCGGCGCTGCGGCGACGTCGGCGATGCATCGGCGACGTCGGCGTGGAGAATCCCGGACTGTGCACCGAGCCGCATCGGCGATGCATCGGCGATGCGGCGCGATCCTCCGGCCCCATCTGCTCCGACTCCCCCTGAGGGAGGCCTAGGCCCGTGGAGGACCCCGAGAGAGCCCGAGAACGGTGAAACACCTCAGGACCCGCTTCCCTCAGGACCCGCTTTCGATGAGCACATTTTCCACCACCACTACCATACGTAGGAGAGGGAGGAGGATGAAGAGGAGGAGGACAACGATGAGGAGGACCAGTGTAAACCCAAGAGTCATCAACGATGTTGGAGTAATCCCTCCCTCCAAACTCCCTCTTCATAGGCCCCTGCACCGGTTCATTGCCATTGATGGAACTGCCTCGTTGGAAGACATCCGTTTGAAGACCCTGAAGCATGCCAAAACATTGTTCTGGGGATTCCAACGCCACGGATCAACCTGACGATTGCGTCTTGATGATCCTGAATCGTGCCATAACGCCATTCTTGGGATTCCAACACAAAGAATCAACGTACATGTTGCGCCCGCATAATTCAAACGTCTTCCAACACGCAATTTCCGGTACGTTTATGATGGGAATCCGCGAAGCCCTTGCATAATGAAAAACATTGCGCCGCGCTAAAGCGAGAACCACATTTTGAAAAGGAGCCGCCGTCAACCCGTGAAATTCTTGCAACAACAATTCTGCAATAATCAAATAACGAATGTGCGCCGCGCAAAGCCGAGAGTCACATGTTGAAAAGGGACTGCCCTCAATCCGCGAAACTCTTGCGATTGTTAAAAAACCAAATGTACGCCGCGCTGAGGCGAGAACCACATTTTGAAAACCACCCGCCCTCCATGTGTGGAACTGCTGCCAACTCTGAAGCTTCAGAATCATAAATAGTGAAAAAAACTCAGGCGAAACGCCCGGCCCGCCCTACAAACTGGCCTCCAGGTGCGACAGAGAGAAGTGGTTTACAAGGAAAGGGAATGGAGGAGGAGGAGGAGGAGCCCTTCCCCCTCCTACTTATGGTGGTGGCGGTGGAAAGCGAGCCCACCACCAATGGCGACCTTGGTCGGCTCGCGCCGATCTCGGAGCACGCCGCGGCGCCTACTCTTAAGTCGGGCCTGTCCCCCTACAGGGGGATTTTCGACGAAGAGTGCCCCAACTATACACCAAAAATAGTCCAACATTAGTCAGGGGAATATTTGTTTAGCATTTGTTGGGCATTTTAGGTGTCTGTTGGGGGTAATTTTTATTTTTCGTCGAAGATCCCCCTGTAGGGGGACGCGCCCTACTTAAGCCTACTCCGCAGTGGTGCGAGGCGCGCCCGCCCACCACGGCGCTCGGCCGCGGGAGGGGCGGGCCGCCCAGGGTGTGGCGGCGGCCGCGCGTTGCTGGCGGGCCAGGCCCAGGACGATCCTGGGCAGGGCTCCTCCTCCTCCTCCTTCTCCTCCTCCTCGTTCTAGTCCTGCTCCTCCTCCTGCTCATCGTTCTAGTCCTCCTCGTTCTACTCCTCCTCGTTCTAGTCCTCCTCCTCGTTCTAGTCCTCCTCCTCGTCCTAGCCCTCCTCCTCCTCCTCCTCCTCTTCCACCTCCTCCTTCGCCTCCTCGTTCTAGTCCTCCTGGTTCTGGTGCTCCTCCTCCTCCTCCTCCTGGTTCTGGCCCTCCTCCTCCTCCTCCTCCTCCTCCTCCATGGCGGTCAGTCCTCTCCGACGTCATGTCCATCCTGTACTCCAGGCCGGGCGGGCACGCCGCGCCCTCGGGCACCTCTCGCGCGCAGTGGCGGCGGCATGGCAGGGGCCGACGGCCGAGGCTTTGGCCGCGGCGGTGGCGACCAGCCTCTCTGCGAGGCAGGGAATCTATCGAAGTAGGGCCCCGGGAGACACGAGCAGGCAGACACACGTCCCAAGGTTCCCCATATTTGAGCGCCCGAGTTATCCGGGGTAACTCGGGTCCGGGGTAACTCGGGTTTGGATTCCCGAAAAAGGAACCCTAGCCCTGACCCGAGTTACCCCTGATGATGTGGGGCTCTGGACGCCCGAGTTATCCGGGGTAACTCGGGCCTGGGGCAACTCGGGTTCGGATTCCTGAAAAACGAACCCGAGTTAGCCCTGACCCGAGTTACCCCTGATGATTCGGGTCTCTGACATATGTTTTTTCGCAGATGTTCTGGAGTTCCGTCCTCCCCATCCGGCTCCCAGGCGTTCTCCCATGTGTTCCTGGGCATCGACGCCGACGTGCCTTCGTGTCCTTGCTCTTGTTGTTTTGTGTCCCTCCTGGCTGCCCACTCTCCACCGCCAGGGGGAGGGGGACATCCTGGGGCACCCGAGGGGCGCGGATGTGAATAGAAGCCGGCCGCAGGTGGGGGAGGGGGGGCGAATGCATATACATGTGTATATATATATATATATATGTGTGTGTGTGCGTACATAGATATATGTGTATGTTTGTATGTATACATGTTCATCTAAAGACATGCATGTATACCTACATTAGTACATCTATGCATATGTACACACACACACACACATATATATATATATATATATGCGCAACCACTTCTTGCCGAGTTCCAGAGAGTTCCACTTCCCCGGCGGCGGTGGAAATGGCCAAACCCTAGCGAGCTTGTATTCTGTCCATGCCCCTCCCGTGACGTCCGTCACGGGGGGGGCGGGGGGGCGGTCGGGCATGCGAGCGCCACGGCACGCTCGCGGGCTCCACGGCATGCCTGCGAGCACCGCGCAGATGCCTGCGGGGGAAACCTGGCATCGCTCGGACGTCCATTCCATGTGTTTTTTTCGGTTTCGTGCGTGGTTGTTTCGCGAAATGATCAAGGATGCTCCTCGGTGGCCCTCGCCGAAGGAAAAATGCACACGTCCGAGCGATGCCAAGTGCCTGTGGCCTGTGAGCACCGCAAGGATGCTTGAGCGGGGGAAACGCCGCCCCCCCCCGCGCACGTTCGGCACCGTGGCGGGGGGGGGGGGGCGACCCCCCGCAACTTACGCGTTCGATCTCGGACCCCTCGCCACGCATCTGAGCGGTCTTTGGCGGTAGTTCGGCGGTCTTCGACGGATTGGGGCGGTCGTTCGGCGATCCTTCGGCGGTCTTCCGAGAACTTTGGTGGTCTTTCGGCGGTCTTCGGCGGTCTGGACGGCGGCTCGACACGGTCTTCGGCCGTCTTCGGTGGTCATCGGTGTGAAGGCAGGATGCTCCGCGTTGACAAGGTGTCCATGATCGAACAGGAAACGTTACGGACGCTACGTGACGAACGAACAACACACACCAATACCCGGAGGGAGGTCGGAGGGAGGAGGACTGGCTATGGGTATGGGTGCGATTTGTCGGACCCCTGGGGAGGCTCCCGTTCGAGCGGGGACCCCCATCCGACAACACGCACCCATAACTCATTCCGTCCCCCCTATGGGTATGGGTACGTATTGATCGTTCGTCACTACGGGTGTACCGAAGAACCAAGACATAATCTCAACCTCGGACCTCCAGAAGCTGCAGCCGTGTCGCCCCACCTTCCCTCCCGGCATCTCCGGAGACCTGCGGAGGCCCCCGCTGCCCTCGCCCGCCAAAAACCTCTTAGCAGCCTCGAACGTATCCCTATCCCCAAGATTGACACGCCAAAAGGCGATGACAATCTTAGGGATTCGCCCTCAAAAAGTAAGGGAACCCCTAGGATTGGCATCGTGATGAGGAGGTGCCCAGCATAGGGATGGGGACATGCTCCAGGCTGGTAAACCTCGGGCCCGCGACGGCACGCCCGAGCGCCCGCTCCGCCCCTGGAAGACGAAGCCGAGATCGGGCAGGGACAAGCTCGGGCGCTGCTCACTGGGGGGCGATCCATGGGACGCACAGGGACGTACTGGTACCAAATGTCATCCGTGGAGGCGCGCGCCCGAACCCAGCGTGTAGTATACCCATCTTGTCGCAGATCGTTTCCCGAGCGGTGCGGCCAGGCAGCGCACGCCACGACACATGCACTGCAAGATTTCTCGGTGCGCGCGTCGCCCCGGGGGGGGGCGGCGCACACATAGTATTGGTACGTTTGGGCGACGCCGAATCACCGGGGATGGACAGACCCCCCTTTAGTAAAACGTAGTTTAGTGAAAACGACCTGAGGCCCAAACCTGGCGGGCGCAAGCCTGGAAAATAACGGCCACGGCGCCCTCTCGAGAACCGAAAACGGAGAATTCGCTAATCGACGTGTCACTGTTGGGGGTTCTGTCCACCCCCGAAATCAATGGGGGGTCAACGTGCACCTCTCCTGCCCATGTCGGGCCCGAGGGGGGCCCTTGCAGGCAACAGAAGGTGCACCTTGCTTCACCTCGCTACGAATGCAGCACCCCCCATGACAGGGCTGGACCTAAACAATTGTGTTCGTTTACGTTTTGTGTTCGTTGTTTCCTCGTGTTGTCTTGGTTCCAAATTTGTTGCAAAACGACATCGAAACGAAAACGGCCCACGAAATCGCCAAAACACCGTTTGGGTCCACCCCTGCCCCGTGACGCAACGCCCAATACGCCGGGTATCTCTGAGGTCTGGCTGTCCAGGAGGATGTGTCGGGCGCCGCGGCCTCCTCAAAGCGTTCCAGACCGATCTGTTCCTGTCCTGTTCTCCATTCCGCCGGCCAAGGGCTCCTCCACGGCGTCTGGCAGCTCTGCGAGGCATCAAAGCCAAGCGAGCTTCTACGGGAGCGCCTCAGAAGAGTAAGAAACAACTTCAAACACTGAAGCTTTCGAAGCTCCACGCGGATTTCTCAGATCAACGCTGGGTCCCCCTGGCGGCGCCTCCAGCGCCGATCCAAGAAATCCGCACGGAGCTCCGTACGTTAATCCTTATGCAGCTGAGTGCTTTTCGACTGCCCCGGGGACGCTGTAGTGAACGCTGGCACTGCAACTGGAACAGCCCGTGCCACTGGAACGGCAATCGCAAATCGTCTGCCCGTGTTTCTGCTACTGGAGATGATCACTAGCGGCTCACGATGCCCTACCATGTTGCACTGCTGCCTGCCCCCATGCAGCAACGTACTGCGCATGACTGGCTTCCCACGGCCCACTGCTCACAGCCCAGTGCTGCTTCCGAGCATTTCTCTGGTGTTGGACCCTCGTGTTCAGAAGACAGCGCTCCGCGTCTCACTCCCACAACCTGCTGCCCCCTCTTCCATCACTCCAGCATGCCATCGTCATCAGCATCGTATGCATCATCATGGGCAACAGCATCATCATCACCATCATCACCATCATCACCATCACCATCATCATCATCATCATCATCAGCATCATCATCATCATCATCATCCTCATCATCCTCATCATCCTCATCATCCTCATCATCCTCATCATCATCCTCATCCTCATCATCCTCATCATCCTCATCCTCATCCTCAAAATCATCATCAGCAGCATCAACATCATCATGCGTCCCCCGTCGATCTCGGCACACCCCTCACACGTCCGTGGCACATCCCTCACACGTTTCGTGGCCCCACAAAGAGCTTTACCGAAGGCTCCTGTTGCAGGGTTCGCATGCGCCCCCCCTCGATCACTTCGGCACACCTCTCAAGGGGGAGCTTCGTCGAAGGCTCCCATGGCAGGGCTCAGCTGCGTCCCCCCGACAACTTCGGCACGCCCGTCACGCGTGTCGTGGCTCCGTGCGGAGCTCCACCGAAGACCTACATAGCGCGGTTCGCATGCGTCCCTCACACACAATTCCCGCACACCCCTCACAAAATTCGGGGCGCCACGGGGCCTCCACCGAAGGCTCTTGTGGCAAGGTTCGCATGCATCCTCCGCTCTATCTGGCGCACACTTCACGCGTTGCGTGACCCCAGAGGGAGCTCCCGGTACTCACTCTTGCAAATGATTGGGTCCGTCGCCAGGATGCTTTACAAACAGTGAGCAATGATTAACAGCTCACTGTTTTGCCTCTCTCTCTGCCTCTCTCTCTCTCTCCCCCCCTGTTCTCTCAATTCTCGCTGCTCACAAATCCCTGCTGCTGCCAATCCCTTGAGCCTGCTCATCTTCCTCCTCCTCCTCCTGACCGTCCTCCTGTGCTGCAAAAGCATCAAATTTCTCATCTCCCATTTTTGTCGCCCCCCCTGTATTCACCCATCGCATCCCCTCCCCCCTCCAATTGGCTCATCAGACCTCTCCTTCCCAGGCCCGCCCACCTCATCAAGACCCTGCTGTTGAAGGTGGCCGGGGGGTCTGAAGTGGCCGGGCCCCAGAAAGTCAGTCAGGGCGGGTGAGTGATGCCAAATCCGCTTGAAATCGGTCCCCTGACCCCTCCAAATATTCATCTGGTGAAATGTTTCACCGCAGATCCGTTTCTGACAGTCCCGGGGCCCGAAAACGGCTCCCGGAGGCGGACAAACAAAAGCATACCAGAACCCACAACATCGAACCTGCATGCCTTTCCTGCTTGCCAGAGCCAGTGCTGGGCCACCTCAGACACCCGAACGACTCCGACCCTGCTGCTCCTTCCCTTCCTCTCTCTTCCTCGTTTTTCCCCTCGCCCTCCTGCTGGTCCTCCTCGCCCCGTTCCTCCTGCTCTGGCACCTTCTGCTCATGCTCTTCTTCCTTCCCTTCCCCTCCTATTCTCCTCCTCCCTCAGTCTCCTCCCGTACCCTCCCCCACTTCCTCCTCCCACCACCTCTCCTCCTCATCCCATACCTTTTCCTTCCGCCTGCTCCCCCAGTGCTATTCCCCGTCATTCTTCTCCCCGTCCCCCTCGTCCACCCCTAGACATGCAGCGATGCGACCGTGTCCGATTCGCCGCCCCACCAGCCCATCCCCTGGGGCCCCCCGGGCCCGGGAACGGCCCCACACGGGCCGACGCCGAAGACAGAACGCCGGGATTCGGATGCATCACCGATGCATCGCCGATGCGGCGCAATCCTCCGGCACCATCTCCTCGAACCCTTGGAGATGACTCCTCCCTCGAGCCCTCTCCGCTGCGGCCAAGCGCCTCCTGCCACTCGGCCGTCGGCACGAACTGCCTGGACCCCGCGCGCTCGGCGGGGGGCGGGCGCGCGGGGGGGACGATACGGGCATCGCGCTACTTGCCATCGCTCGGACGTCCATTTCAGGTGTTTGTCGATGTCGTTAATTTTCGGTAACAACTCATGGGAGCCTCCAATACTATCTTGTCGGCTCTTGCGAGTCGGCGCCTAATCGACACTACTCGACGCTAAATCGACGCTGATCGACGCTAGTCGACGCTAAATCGGCGCTACCTCATCGCGTCCCAGACGCTAATAGACGCCAGTCGACGCTAAAGACAGAGTCGCGAGGGCACAGAAGGCTTCCGCGATTTGCTACCGAATGGATTTTTTGAAAATGCCCCAAGATGCTCCTCAATGGTCCTCGGCGAGGACCATTGAGTACTCCTCGAGGAACCTCCTCGAGGAGGAGGATGAGGAGGATGATGAGAAGTAAGAGGAGCAGGAGGAGGAGGAAGAAAAAGGGTCCGGCGTAAGCCGGGGCCTAGTCCGGCCCAGTGGCCCCCGCCCCTAGCCAGTGGTCGTTCTGACGCAGACCTCCCAGGAGCTGCATCCCAACTTAGACGGTCGCCTTAGCATCTCTTCTCCTCCTCCTCGTCCTCTTCGTCCTCCTCCTCCTCCCTTCTCCTCCTCCCTCCTCCTCCTCCCTCCTCCTCCTCCTCCTCCTGCAAAACCCCGAGGAGGGTTCTGCACGGGAGCTCGGTGACAGCGATGACGATCGGTCACCTGTTTACCTCAGCACGGCGAAAAAAATCTCGGTAGCTTCAGCCGTTAAATATTGAGCCAAACGGTAACGGGGACACCTTCACTCCCCAGTCACCTGACTGCTCACGTATTAACACCCCCCTTCGGACGCTAGTCCGCATAGGCTGACGGGGAGGCGTCAACAATCACGAAAACAGGTCAAGCTAGACAAAACGTCGCACGCAAATGACGTTAAGCCTCAAGTCTCTTCATCACACTGTTGAATTCGAAATGTCTCGTGACGGCGCTTACGAGCACCAAGTTTCCCACACATGTAACATGAGCTCGAGTAAACGCTTTTACTGTCACAAGTTCAAACGAAGCATCAAAAGTTTACACAGCAAGCTAGCATTTGGATGAGTTTGGTTGCTTTCGCTTTTTATTCGCCAAAACCTGCGGTGACAACAAGAGATGCGCACGCAAACAGACTCAGCTCAACAGGCTGCTGCCACTCGATCGTTAAGCCAAGTTAAGTGGGGAGATGAGGAAGAGCGTGAACTGCAGCATGTTGACTGCCTGCCATCTTTCACGGACGGCGCGGGCGCCTCGCCGACGGGGCCCGTGAACCCCTCGACCTCGGTAACCCGCGATGGCCCACGCCGGCTGCGGTGTAGGACGACACCCTGTTAAGGGCCTGCATCGGGCTGTAGTAATCGTTGTCCATGTACGCGTTAATGCGCTCCTCGTCGTCAAGCCAGCACCCCTCATCGTGGCTCTTGATTGAGCTGTCAACGATGTTGTGGTAAGTGCCGATGGCCCTCCAGTAACTGGCGTGGGGAGCCTTTAACAGAGGCCCATCGCCTGGATTGTTACGGAGGTGCTCTTCGACCGCAGCGCCGGTAAACGGGTTCACAGTCCAGGCCGGATCGGTAAGCCAGTTGGGGAAGTCGTCGCACGGTAACCAGCCAAACCAGCAAAGCTTCTCACGGTGATCGCTTTTACGCTCGGTGACATGATCGGCCGGCCAGTTATCACGGTAAAGTGCCCTCACGGATCCCTGATCGTTAAGGGCAACTTCCAAGACGGTCTGGTGCCAGTAGACTGGAGGCTTGACCATCCTGCCCTTTAACTCCGCGGTGCTCCTGACCTCGAGGTCGTCGATGAAGTAGTTACGGTAATGCACCTGGAGCCCGTTCATGTAACGGCAGTAAAGCCTGGCAAGATCAGGCGTCGCAAAGCGAATCGCCGTAACTCCAGTCGAGATGTAACCGTGCGGCCCATGGGTGTCCTCCACCAGGTGCTTAACGGAGATCACGGTGAGGTTGCCGTGGGGCAGCATTCCTGCCCACGTTAGGAGGAGGCCGTTAAGCTGCTTCTCGTTCATCTCCGGCACCTTGTTGACGTACACTTGCGTGTCCGGGCAACTGTGGTGCTCAAACCACGATGGGTGAAGCTCGTTAAGGTGGAGTGGTGGCGAGTAGTCATCGTCAAATAGGGACTGCACGTGCCCAACCGCGTCAACCCATTCATCATGCTTGGCCAACTCTTTGTCCGTTAACTGAGACCTCCAGCTGATCGGACCTTTCAACACGGCATAGCCGATGAAACCGTAAGCGTGTTGGCCGAAGATGTCAACGAACACGTCGTCGTAATCGTTAAGCTCCCGCCCGGTGTTGCCCTGAATGGATCTGCCGCCAGGGGTCGTTAACCCCGCCTTCGCCACGTGCCCGACGAAGTTACCCTCAAACTTGCGCCAGTTATCACGTGTCTTCATCGTTAAGGCTACCACCTCCCTGGGATCAGGTTCCGCCTGAAAGTTAACGTCGTAGTCGTCGCTCCTGTTGTTCAGCATGGACATGCGACCGTTGACGCGGTACAGCGGGCGGTAAGTGGTGTCCTTGGCGACGATCCTGGAGTGCCTCTCAACCTGATCAGTCGCGCGGTTAACGACCTGAGGCTGCGGTGGCGGGACGTGCTGGATCGGTAACCTCTTGGGCTCTGGAGGCGGGGGCTTCACGCCGGTAGCGCTGCTTGCCGCTCTGGACTCGCCGAGCCCCGGAGGGGGCGGCTTGGCCGGCCTCGCGTTGACGACGGGAGCAGGATCCTTTGGCGCCTCATCACGTTGACCACCAACCGTTCGATCCTCGCCCATCTTCATGCCTATCTGCATCAACTCCTCCAGCTCCCGTTGACGTTCACGCATGGCCTTCGGCGCCCGCTTGTAAACAGGCTGTGGCTCTTCACCGCCCTGCCGGCTCAACGGTGACGCTCGAATCTTGTTCGGCGACACGGACCGCCGACTCCCCCCGGCTTTAGCGGTTACGCCGGCTAGGTCCTGAGTAGGGGGAGCCTTGCCTGGCGGAGCCACGTTAACCTGCTGCGCTGGGGGCGCGCCCGTGGCCATGGGCCCGGCTGCCGCGGTGGCGGCAACGGGTGGCGCCTTGGCGGGCGCTGCCGTCGGGGGCGACCCAGGTAACGGCGGCGGCACCTGCGGAACATCGGTAACCGAGGAGTTGATCGGGTCATCCAAGAACTTCTGCAAACCCTCAAGCCTCTCGGTAACTCCCACTAGAATACGTAGCGCCGCATCACGTTTACCTTCGAGGTCCTGCAGGGGCGTGATATTCTCGGTAAGGCGCCTGGCGGTAATCAAGAGGCAACCGATATTCTCGTTAATGCGCCGGTACTTGGATGCATTCTCCGCCGTGTTAACCTCCGAGTCGCGATTCTTGATGTTCAACTCTGTCACCATCGCCACAAGGTTGTTAACCTCGTCCTGCGCCCTCTTCAGGTTCTCGTTGACATCGTCACTGGCGTGAACCAATGCGGTGTTCTGCTGCGTTAAGTCAACGATCCTCCGCGCCATATCATCGGCGACCCTCTGCATCTCGTCAACGTGCTTATCATAGGCCCCGTGGAAGTTAATGGCCATGTTGGTGAGGGTCACGGTGAACGCATGAGCGACGTTGACGATATCGTCGACGCGGCGATTGAGGTTCTCGCGCGCAACCGGCCCTGCCCCAGGCGGGCTCTGGTCGACCGCCGCGCCGTTGATCGTGACGTTGACTTGATGGTCCGCCATGCTTTCGTTCACGCTCGACGGAAAAGGGTAAAGGATGGAGGAAGCTTTAATCAAGACAGCTTGCTTGACAGAAATGAGCTGCGGATGTCAACACTCGGTGGCCGGCGCAAGGCTGTGCCGACCTGTTAATGCGCTTTGGTTTGTGTTTAGCAGATGTGTGCTCGTACTTACACGACTGACATACTTGGTTAATGCATCTGCTACGTTCTCATGAGCACCTACTTTCGCAATTCGAATCACTCCCTCCTTTACCTTCTGCTGCAGCCACAGTTGACATACTTCAATGTGTCTTACTTTTCCTAAACCTCGTCTACTCGCAATCGCGATTGCAGCCGTGGCATCACTTTTCAAGGCGATCTCAACTTCCAAGTTAAAATCCCTCAACACTGCCTGAAGTCCCAGTCCGACTGATCCTCCTTTCACAAGCCCGTAATACTCTGCTTCCCCTGACGATAATGCAATTACACTTTGAGTTGTGCTCCAAGATTTTATAAGGTGTTTACCCCACATCACTACTCCTCCACTCGTAGACTTCCTAGTTCGTTTACATCCTGCATAATCTGTGTCCGTCCAAATCGTCAACTCTCGAGGCTGCTCTTGATACTGATACACGTAACTGCTTCTGCTGCGATACTTCAAATACTTTCCTAGCTTGACTAGACCTTTCCACGAACCCATAGTTGGCTTTGACATGGTCCTAGCAAGTTCTTTTACTGAATACTGTATGTCCGATCTGTCTTGAGCTAAATAATTCGCTCTAGCCGTTAATGCCTGATATCGCTTAGTCATGCTGGGCGAAAGTTCTACCTCGTCTCCCTCCTCAACTGGAATGCGTTCACCTGGCACCTCAGTCCTCACTTTTACTCCCTCAAGTTCAAGCTCTTTCACAATTATTTCCGCATGCCTTTGATCAGCCTCATATCTCAATCCTTCCTCAGTCCACTCCACAATCCTGTTAAGAATCCTGATCGCCTTCATGTCTTCCTCCCCCGGTCCAAGTCGTCCTCCCACTTGTACCTCAAACTCCTCCTTTATTTTATTTTCAAACCAATCGAGGTCAAGGTCACCACCTAGTAGAGTAAAGTCATCCCCATGGACCGTTAACCATAGGGCTCGGGTCTCGTGCTTAAACACGCACGGTGACGCAACTCCACTCTTGAACCCAACTTTAATGGCAAAGTCCATGTAACAGTCTGCCCAGTTGCTTGCCGCATCTCTTGTTCCATACATT